TCTATCTATCTATCTATCTATCTATCTATCTATCTATCTATCTATCTGTATATATCTATCTGTCTGTCTGACTGTCTGTCCGTTTGTCTGTCTGTCATATCTGAATAATAGCAGCTTGGGTTGGTAGGTGGGCTGTTGATTTGAACTCCGAGCTCGGCAATTTGGTTGCAAACATTTCATCACCATTCGAGGAGACATCGTCAAACACAATTCAAAGCCCACTGACGATGCCTCCAATGGTGACAAAACATTTGCAACCAAACTGCCGAGCTCAGAGCTCAAACCAGTAGCCTGTCTGTCTGTCTGTCTGTCTACCTCTACCTCTACCTCTACCTCTATCTCTACCTCTACCTCTATCATCTCTATATATCTACCCCCTCTTTCTCTTCCTCTTTCTATCTCTCAACCTCTCTATCTACCTGTCTCCCTACCTACCTGATTTTGAAGGGAAGGTGTTTTGGGGGAACAAAAAGACCCCAAAAGAGAAGAAAAAGACTAAAATATCTCCCCACCAACTGTCAATACCTGGATGAGCATAGATGAACTCCATTTACCTCAAACCAACAATCAAAAAGTAAACAATAACCCCAATTAAGGAACTGTCAAACAAGCTAACAGTAAACAGCCCAACCAAAGAACCTCCAAGACCATTCCCATCAACACTGACAGGACAATCCACTAGAATATAAATTTAGAGCAATCCTCACTCCTTACTAGCACCGATGATGGTGTAGTTTTGAGAACAAAACATCTGTAAGAAAACAACCAAGCTCAGAGAACATGAAGGACCCCTCATCCATCCCCCCCACCTCTCGTGACTCTGGGCAGTTTATAGCATTAAAATATAAAATAACCCGTAGAATGGGCAAAATAAGATATAGTTTCTTCAGATTCTTGAGAGCTAAATTGCCATGCCTGAAATATTCTTTAATCAAAGTTTTGTGTCCTTTTCTCTGAGGGTGGTAGGAAAATGCAGCATTGAAGGAGATAAAAAGTGGTTTTAAAAATGCCGAAGAAACTTGACGCTGGGTATAGGCCAAATGCAGAATTTTTACTCAAATCTTAATTTCTCGCCCTAATCCAAAACCACACAGTTAATGTAACAGAGATCACATTTCAGTACAGATGGTTGAAATACCAAGTTATAAATAACTCCAGTATTGACCATATGCTAGTTAATATATTAAGCATTCAGCAATGTACTGTAGATGCAAATATATTGTTGAGGTAATTCCCCGTTAGGAGAATGAGCGCATACAGGGAGACGTATAGAGAGTAGCGTTGGAATAATACACACAGAGCACACAGATACACTGTACAGTAAATGTGGGTGTTTATTTCCAGAAAGGTTTAAGCAGAGTCCAAAATAAGCAATCCAAAAATCATTCACAGGTAAATCAGTCAGTTTTTCAATCCAGGGATAATCCAAATATCAAATTCCAGTGTCAAAAACAGTTCAGTATCAGACCTACATTAAATCCAGTAATATCAGTCAATTAGAAGAAATGGAGCAACGGCGATACTTTCCAACAGAAGGAAACAGAGATACACTCAGACACACACTCTTCTAAGACTAGGACTAAACTAAACAACCCAGGTTTCTGGCTCCATCTTATGGCTGTTTGAGAAACCACACCCAATTGCATGCTCTTGCATTCCCTTAAAGATATAGTACTAAAATGTTTATCGTGGTTTATATATTTCTAACCCAAATACCTGTTAGGTGACTCATATTCCTAACATATATCAAAAGGGAATAAGAAAATGAGTATCATGCAGATTGTGATAATTTGAACTAATAAACTGAGTGAATACCACTCCGAGCAGCTATGTCAGTGTGGGAAGCCCACTCCTCCTAAAGAATGAATATTTTGAGAAATATTAAGAGCAGTGGTGGGATTCAAATTTCTTAACAACTGGTTCTGTGGGTGTGGCCTAATTTGTGGGTGTGGCTTGGTGGTCACATGATGCTGGGCATGGATTGTATATAAATATTGTAAATATTTATGTAAGTATTTAATTTTTTATTTAAAAAAGAGCAACTTTTACCCAAAATCAGGCAGAGCAGGCAGGCAGATTGAGTTGCTCACAAAATCACAAATTCACTTAGAGATCTATCTATCTGCAATCTGCTACCTGAGTCTATCACATAAAATTTGCTTGCAAGCAAACTCACAAAATTAACTCACAACACACCATGTATCACCAAACTTGATTGCAGGAAATATGACTTCAGCAACAGAGTGGTCAATGTCTGGAATACTCTACCTGACTCTGTGGTTTCTTCCCCAAACCCCAAAAACTTTAACCTTAGACTGTCTACTATTGACCTCACCCCTTTCCTAAGAGGTCTGTAGGGGGCGTGCATAAGCACACCAATGTGCCTCCCATCCCTGTCCTATTGTTTCTTTTTTTTCTTATATGTATCCATGTATTCATAACTATGGTTTTACTTATACCTATTATCTTGTAAGCAATTGACAAAAATAAATAAATAAATGAAAAAATAAAGTAGGTAAATATTGATTTTTTTCTTTTTAAAAAAGAGCAACTTTTACCCAAAATCAGGCAAAGCAGGCAGGCAAATTGAGTTGCTCACATAATCACAGATTCACTTAGAGATTTATCTATCTGCAATCTGCTACCTGAGTCTGCACAGAAAAATAGAAGCTTCAGTCCTAAGGAAGGTTCAGCTCTGCTTTTAGATTAGCTAGAAAGCAAGAAATTCAATGGTTTCCTGCTTCCTAGCTAATCAAAATCTCCTGGCACAGCAGAACAGCTGATGGTCGGAGCGGGGGGAGGAAAGATAGCAATTTAGCAGACAAGTTTGATGGTGCCCATGCTAGGTAAGGAGTGAGTGGGTGGGGCGGGGAGGCACGGTGCCAGCCAGTGGCATGATTTGCCAGTTTTCTGAACTGGGCAGAATCGTAACAACCGGTTCTATACAACTGGTCCAACCAGGCAGAATCCCACCCCTGATTAAGAGTCAGAATATTATATTTCCCCAAAGGAGAAATGGAGAAACGTATTCATAGAGGCAGAAAGCAGCCCCCAGTCTTTCTTAATAGCCTCCAGCAAATGCCTGAAGTCTTTAGAGATGGATATTTTGTGTCCATTAAGAAAGATTGGGCCAATCTATTCACAAACAAAACACTTTCAGCTCCAGCTGATGGGATTAAGAAGGACAGGACAGGATCTTTTAGGACAGAATAGGATTAACCCAGAGGTGGTATTCAGTAGGTTCTGACCAGTTCTGGAGAACCAGTAGCAGAAATTCTGAGTAGTTTGGAGAACCGGCAAATGCCACCTCTATTCTCTGCCTCCTGAATCCCAGCTGATTGGCTGGGTCTTCTTTTGTTGCCTTGCACAGGAGAACGGAGCTGGAAAGCAGGTTAATGGGGTGAGGAGGAAATGGGGATTTTGCAGTATCCTTCCCCTGCCACACCCACTAAGCCACGCCCACCAAGCCACGCTATGCCCACAGAACTGGTAGTAAAACATTTTGAATCCCATCACTGATACACACACACACGCACACACACACACTGTATATTTTTGTAAGCTATCAAGAGTCACTTCAGATAGTGAGACGGTGACATATAAATTTAATAAATAGATAAATGAATGAATTAGATACTTTCTTTGTTTTATCTCTGATCTTTTCTAGATAACCAGAATTTTACCTCTTGTTCATCCAGGTATCCCTGCCTCTTGCCCTTCTCAATGCAACTTCAAAGTTAAAGTATCTAGAATGCATGTGGCCCCCAATGTCATGTTAAAGTACAACAGGTGAACAGCGAATTGCATAAATCACCCTCTGGGTGAAGCTCGTAGCCTGCAATGTATTGCTTGTTCTCCCTGTGTTATGAAATGTTTGGTAATTTATGGCAATGTTTGCCAGTTTACAATGTTTACACCTTGAGTACTGCATCCAGTTTTGTTCACCACATTATAAAAAAGATGTTGAGACTCTAGAAAAAGTATAGAGAAGAGCAACCAGGATGATTAGGGGACTGGAGACTAAAACATATGAAGAATGGTTACAGGAACTGGGCATGGTTAGTCTAGTGAAGAGAAGGACCAGGGGAGACATGATAGCGGTCTTCCAATATTTGAGGGGCTGCCACAGGGAGGAAGGGGTGAAGCTATTTTCCAAAGCACCTGAAGGCCAGACAAGGAATAATGGATGGAAACTGAATAACGAGAGATTCAACCTAGAAATAAGGAGAAACTTTCTGACAGTGAGAACAATCAACCAATGGAACAGCTTTGCCTTCAGAAGTTGTGGGAGCTTCATTACTTGAGACCTTCAAGAAGAGGTTGGACTGCCATTTGTCAGAAATGGTGTAGGGTCTCCCGCTTGGGTGGGGGGTTTGGACTAGATGACCTATAAGGTCCCTTCCATCTCTAATTATCTGTTATCTGTTATCAGTTGAGCGTTGCCAACATGATTGTTATCCTATTATAGATAATTCCCAACCTGGTTGCAGATCATTTCTGTGGTATCATGAATTTTGGGCACAAACCTACACATCCTTAATATTCCTGCCTCTTCTGTATGTTATCACATAGGCCCTAAGTGCCGTGATTTGATTTAAACCTTTTAAATTTGTATATTAAACAACTAGCTCAATACCCGTGCTTCGCTACGAAACTATGTGATCGGGCTTAGTTTTTTGGGAGGAAAATAAGGA